ACAGTAGAAAACACTAACTGAAGATGAAGTTGGAAGGGCCACCAGGCAGCCACTGCAGAGTAATATGTTGCCGTGAATGTGTCCAGTTTGGTGTAGTGGTTAAGTGTCTGGACTCTAATCTGGGAGAACCGGGTTTGATTCCCCGCTCCTCCACTTGCACCTGCTGATGTGACCTTGGGTCAGTCACAAGCTCTGGCACAGCTGTCCTTGAAAAAGAGCAGTTTGTGTCAGAGTTCTCTCAGCCCCACCCACCTCACAGGGTGTCTGTTGTGGAGAGGGGAAGGGAAAGGAGTTTGTAAGCCACTCTGAGACTCCAAGTGAAGGGCGGGGTATAAATCCAATCTCTTCTTCTTCTTCTTCTTCTATTTGCAGGAAAGAGCCCACCCATGTTCACTTTAGAGATGAAACTGGGGACCAGGACTTGGATAAATCACATGGTTTCGATCACACGTTCAGCTGTACATTTGTTGAATGTAACATGAGACTTACTCAATGCACGCAGGGCTATTTTTGGGCAGGAACGCACAGGAACGGAGTTCCGGCTGGCTCCTGAGTTGGCCTTGCCCAGCAGGAGCTCATTAGCATAACAGGCCACACCCAACAGCAGAAACTCATTGGAAATGGCTACATTAGGGGTGTGTGGCCTAACATGCAAACGAGTTCCTGCTACAAAAAAACCCCTGGGTTTTGACAACAAACAAGGTAAACAGAATAAGAAGCAAAAGGTGGGTGTGGCTGGATGAGCACACTTCTGGTAACATGGGGGTGTGGCCTAATATGCGAATGAGCTGCACTGTCAGGAGTGTGGCTTAATATGCTAATGAGTTTCTGCTGTTGGGTGTGGCTTATTATGCTAATGAGTTCCTGCTGGGCTTTTTCTACAAAAAGAGCCCTGAATGCACTTATGAAGAAAAATCAGGTGCATACTGGACACAGATCGTACACGCATTCCCTGTAACTTGTGAGTGAGGCTTCCCGTCTAAACGGGGTTACAAATCAAGCATTACCTTGGACTTCAGTGAAACTCCGTAACTTTTCTGTGCTTCCTGTTCCATGTTAATCCACACAAACATCAACAGAGCCAAGGCTGGTGGGAAAAGGGCTTCGTATCTACAGCAACACAAATGATGACAAAAGGTGGTAGTTGAGCAATAAGACCAGGAAAACAAAGGGACCAAAATATGGATTTTTATTCCCTCCACACACACACACACACGCATAGAGGAAACATTAACAACAGATAAGAGGGGGTAGATAACTGGCCCAGCAAGAGAGAGAGAAGAAGAAGAGATTGGATTTATTCCTCGCACTTCACTCGGAGTCTCAGAGTGGCTTACAAACTCCTTTCCCTTCCCCTCCCCACAACAGACACCCTGGAGTCCGGCTGGCTCCCAATTTGGCCACGCCCAGCAGGAACTCATTAGCATAATAGGCCACACCCAACAGCAGAAACTCATTAGGATTGGCTACATTAGGGGTGTGTGGCCTAACATGCAAAGGAGTTCCTGCTACAAAAAAACGCCCTGGGTTTTGACAACAAACAAGGTAAACAGAATAACAAGCAAAAGGTGGGTGTGGCTGGATGACCACACTTCTGGCAACACGGGGGTGTGGCCTAATGTGCTAATGAGCTGTGCTGGCAGGGGTGTGGCCTAATATGCTAATGAGTCTCTGCTGTTGGGTGTGGCCTGTTATGCTAATGAGTTCCTGCTGGGCTTTTTCTACAAAAAGAGCCCTGTAAAACACACAGAATATATCGAATGACACAACAAAGAGGGTTACCCTGTGCTAAGCAGAAGGTACGTGGACATCAGTGAAAGGAATATGCTCAGCAGCCTCAAGAACAGCATTGTGGAGCTTAACAGGGGCACGATCAAGGACGAAGCTGCAAGAGAGAGAAAATAATTGGTCAGGGCAAGGACGTCTGAATGAACCCTCCCTTGACTGTTCTCAAAAGTGGTGCACTACTGGGGAGGGGGGGGGGAAGGTTTCAACATTTCTCATGCATGAGCAGCTCTTGTGGATTCCCGTTCCTGAAAGCCCAAAGGTCCAGCTCAGGGGTCCCCAGCACTGTGCCTGCAGGTGCCTCTGCCAACACCCACCTGGGAGCCCACCAAGTATTTGTAGAAGTAGGAGGGTCCAGGTAGGGCTCTTGCCCAACACGGCTTCTGAATTGGCCACTGGAGATCTGTTATTGGCTGTGTAGGTTAAAATAATATTGTTCCGGTGGCCACTGCCACCACTATGCTGGTTTTATTACCTCTCTTCCCTAGCATATATTTTTAACTACCCCTCTTCTCCCTCGGGCTTCCCTCCGCGTGGCCTCCTTCAGCAGCCATTTTGCAGTTGTGCCTCCCACCCCAAGTCACAATTCCAAATGTGCGCATAAGCTCAAAAAAGTTGGGGGACATGGTCTAGTTCAGAGGCGGTAAGAGACGCTCTCTTCACCCTTCTGTAATGAGGATTCCAGTATATACAGTTCAGACAGGGGAAAAAACAACTGAGAAATATTTCCTTTGCTGCCACCATTTTGAATTTACCTCACAAAAGATGGGACTGACTTGGGGAAAACTTTTCCCCGTAGGGTTTCCTACTTTCTGCTTGGAGGAGGAGGAGGAAGGGGACTGACTTGGGGAAAATTTTTTCCCGTAGGGTTTCCTACTTTCTGCTTGGAGGAGGAGGAGGGGGATTTATACCCCGCCCTTCACTCAGAGTCTCAGAGCGGCTTACAAACTCCTTCCCCTTCCCGTCCTCACAACAGACACCCTGTGAGGTAGGTGGGACTGAGAGAGCTCTTTCGAGGACTGCTCTTTGGAGAACAGCTCTGGCAGAACTATGGCTTGCCCAAGGTCATCCAGCAGCTGCAAGTGGAGGAGTGGGGAATCAAACCCGGTTCTCACAGATTAGAGTCCACGCACTTAACCACTGCACCAAACTGGCTCTAGAAAGGTTTACACCATAAAACTCAACTGCTTTGGACAACGTAGGAAGGCATCTGCAGGCTGCGTCTGTCAGGAGAGTACATTCCATATAGGAACAACAATGCCCAGGATGGATATCATAAGAGAAAGGGAAGAGACAGGTGGAAAGCAGCGGGAAGAATCCCTATGGCAAAAACCGGCACTATCAACTGAAGTTAACAGCCCCTCCTCACAGATCGTGGGGAAAGTATGAGGAAATGAGAGAAAAGGGCACGAACCTTCAGGTTATTTGTATATTTTACTTGAAACATTTCTATGGCATCTTTCCACCCAAATAGGGTACCCCCCAGGGCCGCAAACATCGTAACATTTAAAAAAAATCAACATTAAAACAACATTTAAAATAATGTATACATCAAATAATTCAATACATACATATAAATAAAACACACATAGCGCCAAAATGAGGGGCCAAGAAGAGTTACTGGGGTACACCCTCTCCCTAAATACTAGAACTCAAGGGCATCCAATGAAACATATGGGCAGTAGGTTCAGGATTCACAAAAGGAAATACTACTTTACACAAACAGGAATTAAAATGTGGAATTTGCTGCCGCAGGATGCAGTGATGGCCACAGGAATAAGCAGCTTTAAAAGATTAGATAGATTCATGGAGAATAAGTTTATCAGTGGCTACTAGCTATGGTGACTGAGGAGAATCTCCACATTCAGAGACACTAAATCACTGAATCCTAGAGCCAGGAGGCAACATCAGGGGAAGGCCTTAGCCTTTATGCCCTGTTGTTGGCTATCCAGAGAAACTAGTTGGCCAGTGTGCGAACCAGGATGCTGGACTAGATGGACTACTAGTCTGATCCAGCAGGGCTCTTATGAAGGCCTTGGCCTCTGTGCCCTGTTGTTGGCCATCCAGAGGAACTGATTGGCCACTGTGTGAGACGGGGTGCTGGACTAGATGGACCATTGGTCTGATCCAGCAGGGCTCTTCTTAGGTTCTTAAGCAGGCCTGGGCCTTTATGCCCTCTTGTTGGCCCTCCAGAGGAACTGATTGGCCACTGTGTGAGATGGGGTGCTGGACTAGATGGACTATTGGTCTGATCCAACAGGGGTCTTCTTAGGAAGGCCTGGGCTATGCCATGTTGTTGGCCGTCCAGAGGAACTGGTTGGCCACTGTGTGAGACGGGGTGCTGGACTAGACGGACTATTGGTCTGATCCAGCAGGGCTCTTCTTAGGTTCTTAGGAAGGCCTCAGCCTCTATGGTCTGTTGGTCCAGAGGAACTGGTTGGCCACTGTGTGAGACGGGGTGCTGGACTAGATGGACTATTGGTCTGATCCAACAGGGGTCTTCTGATGTTCTCCGTTTGACAGAAGCCTGAATGTAAACTGAATCTACTTGAATACATGTAAGTTTTACTTTTGCAATATACTTCTTAGAAAATGTATTTACTGCAAACTCTGCTAAACTATCCCAATAAAGATGCTCATCTTGCATTGGAGCAAGACACCTTCATCAAAGAAAGCACCAGGCCTAGCGGTACAGATCAATGGGATCCAACCCGGAAATAACAGCAAAGCCAACATTTTTCTTTGCAAGCCCAACAGCATTTATATTCCAGATGAATTGAGATCGAGACAGGGAGGCTCACCTAATGTTGTCCAGCTCACAATCTGATTTATTAAAGGCAATCCTTGTTTGCTTTCCAGACTGCTGTGAGTATTTTTCACAACGTAAGACGAAAGTGCCAGGCTCAGCAACTACAAAGGAAAGCAAAGCACATAAAAGAAAAAGATCAAGGTGCTTTTAAAGAAGAGGGCCAATCACCCAGCTGGTTCTGCCACAATGTGGTGATCAAGGCGCATCAGAGAGGAGAAAATTAATGTCACCGTACAGCAGGGCTCTTTTCGTAGAAAAAGCCCAGCAGGAACTCATTAGCATAACAGGCCACACCCAACAGCAGGAACTCATTAGCATATTGGGCCACACCCCTGACAGCACAGCTCATTAGCACATTAGGCCACACCCCCATGTTACCAGAAGTGTGGTCATCCAGCCACACCCACCTTTTGCTTCTTATTCTGTTTACCTTGTTTGTTGTCAAAACCCAGGGCCTTTTTTTGTAGCAGGAACTCCTTTCCATGTTAGGCCACACACCCCTAATGTAGCCAATCCTAATGAGTTTCTGCTGTTGGGTGTGGCCTATTATGCTAATGAGTTCCAGCTGGGCGTGGCCAACTTGGGAGCCAGCTGGAACTCCGTTCCTGTGTGTTCCTGCCCAAAAATAGCCCTGCCGTACAGATTTAAAATTCCAACCAACCAAAAAAAGGAGAAATAAGTAGGTCTGCATATTAGGGCCGAGGTTCCCCATCTTAAGTGGCAGGATGTACACAGATGCTATCGATTGTGAACAGTACACATTTGCTTAAATGTTCCGGTTCCTGCCCAATTGTGGCTTCTGTTTTTATATTTAAACAAACGTGCCGTCCACAATGGATAGCACCACCTGGGCGTTTTGCCATTAAAAAAAAATGGGATCATCCAGCCAGGTAATTCTTAAGATCTTTTTTCCCCCAAAAAAACAATTTATTAGGATATATTATTAAGTCAAATACAAATTATATTATTAGTTGTTATACATCCTTTCTTCTATTATTCTCCCCCCCCCCTTGGCTTCCCACAGTGCTCCAACCTCCAGCCCATTTCTTAATTTTTCTTCTATTTTCCCTTATCTTTTACCGGTAACATTTCTTTCACCTATTGTTTTCTTATAGTTAACTTTCTTCTAATAACATCAACTTCTCAATAACTGTCAAAGCAAATTAAATTGTCCTTTACATCCCAAGTAATTCTTAAGATCTTAAGCATCAGAACTTCGTAAGGAGAGGTGATAGGGATAGGGCCCCTACCAGCAAAAATCTGATCACTGCTACGTGAGAAGTTTCCCAGCACTGGAGCACTTTGGGCTGCTATGAGGCCATACGGGCCTCTCTCCACACATGCTCCTTATATACAATATCATTGAGGAATGGTGGTAATGCAGACAACTGCAGGTTCTCCTGTGTGGGGTTAGATCTAGAATACAAATCAGGGCCACCATTTGTCTCTGAAGACGTGAGAGCACACCCTGAAAGCTCCTACCCTTGCCACAAATTTTATAAGTCTTCAAGGTGCTCCTGGACTCTTTTCTACTGCTACAGACAGACTAACATGGCCGCTCATCTTGATCTGTCTCCAGGGTCATTATTGTAATGGCATCAGGAGTTCTGAGTTCCGTTTTTAAGACCTGCTACGTCAGCACAGAAGGTGGTCAAGCCAGACCATTATTTGCATGGAATTGCTCATGAAATAAGTTCTGGGCATGGTGCTGGAGGATAGAGAGCATAATCTTATTCTGATGTCTATTTTTCTTAAGCAAAAACCCTTATGCATATTTTTTTTTGTGCAAATGACATGTTCCGGATAAATTCTGTATAAACCTTTCCACCATCTCAAGCTGGTTTTCTTTGCTTGGTGTAGTGGTTAAGTGCACAGACTCTAATCTGGGAAAACCGGGTTTGATTCCCCACTCCTCCACTTGCACCTGGCTGCATGACCTTGGGCAAGCCATAGTTCTGATAAGAGCTGTTCTTGAAAAAGAGCAGTTTCTGTCAGAGCTCTCTCAGCCCCACCTACGTCACAGGGTGTCTGTTGTGGGGAGGGGAAGGGAAAGCGGTTTGTAAGCCACTCTGAGACTCCTTTGGGTAGTGAAGGGCGGGGTATAAATCCAATCTCTTCTTCTTCTTCTTCGTTAGGGCACCTGGGAATGGTGTGACCTTTTGGTGGCCAGAGCAGAAACTGGTCATCTGTTTGTGCCAGTTTGGTGTAGTGGTTAAGTGCGCGGACTCTAATCTGGGAGAACCGGGTTTGATTCCCCACTCCTCCACTTGCACCTTGCTGGATGACCTTTGGGCAAGCCATAGTTCCGTCAGAGGTGTTCTTGAAAAAGAGCAGTTTCTGTGAAGAGCTCTCTCAGCCCCACCTACCTCACAGGGTGTCTGTTGTGGGGAGCGGAAGGGAAAGGTGTTTGTAAGCCGCTCTGAGACTCCCTTGGGTAGTGAAGGGCGGGGTATAAATCCAATCTCTTCTTCTTCTCCAAACCCAATACAAGCCTCTTTTAGAAGAACTTTCAACAACTGTCCAGAATCACAGAGAAGCTCACCAAGTTGCTGTCTAGCCTCTGTAACTCCATCCTTGTTACTGGCTGGTGCTCGACCTTTAGTTGCCCTGGGTTCTGTGAGGGGACGCCCATCAGGTTGCTCCCAAGAGAATATTTTCTCCCTCTCATGCTAGTTAGGAGCCCTTATCAGCAAAGCCTGATTTGTTTCCTCTCACTGCTAGACAGCAAGTGCAAGGCAGCTTGGCTCATCTCAGTAATTGGGATAGCCCGATTAATCACTTCTTGGCTGGTCGCCCGCACTTAGGGTACAGGATGCTTAGTTTTAGCCGGGTGTCTCGTCTGCAGGTCTGGCTAAGTTTCGCTGTGCTCGAGGCCCAGCGGCTGGGAGCTTCGCCTGCTGTTTCTGTAAGCGTGATCACTGCTTGTTAAAAATCTCCTCGTAAGCAAACTTGGGTCTTGCGTATCATTTCCTTGGGATTTCTGTGAATCTGGAGCCCCTGGCCAGACCCCAAACAGTTGTGCAAACACAGGATGCAGTATCATGAGATACAGGGTTGCCACCTCCGGGGCTGGGAAACATCTGGAGCTTTGGGGGGTGGAGCCTACGGCGGGTGGGGTTGGGGAAGGGGAGGGACTTCAATGGGTGATTAACGCCATAGAATCCATCTGCCACAGTGGCCATTTTCTCCAGGTGGACTGATCTCTGTTGCCTGGAAATCAGTTGTAATAGTGGGGGATCTCCAGCCAACCCCTGGAGGTTGGCAACCAATGCTCCCTCTAAGCTGGGGAGTCTTGTGAGCAGAAATTCTACCTTGTGAGCGACCGGCATTAAAATTGTGAGCGAGCAATTTGGCTACTGCATAAATCAGTTTGCTCTTCTGGAGCCACCCTTCCTGAACGGAGACAAAAAATGTGTGAGCCGGAGGCTAAAAAAACTGTGGTCTGGCTCACACTAACTCAGCTTAGAGGGAACACTGGCTCTGACTTATTCCAGTCAGGCCTCGTCTGGAGTACTGCATCCAGTTCTGAGCATGAGATAAATGGGAATGGGTTCAAAGGAAGGCGGCGAAGAGAACTTGGGGGGAGAGGCCTGCAAAATAGGTCCTAAATAAGGGGGGGAGGGGGAGAGATTTGGGGGTTGTCATGCTTGCTTTTAAACTGAAAACGTTTTAACTATCATTGTTCATTGTAAGCTGCCTTGAACCAGGAGGCAAGGTGGGATACAAATGTTTTAATATGTAATCAATAAATACACAAAGAAGAGAAGAAGAGATTGGATTTATACCCCGCCCTTCACTACCCAAAGGAGTCTCAGAGCGACTTACAAACTCCTTTCCCTTCCCCTCCCCACCACAGACACCCTGTGAGGTAGGTGGGGCTGAGAGAACTCTTGACAGAAACTGCTCTTTTTCAAGAACAGCTCTTATCAGAGTTATGGCTTGCCCAAGGTCATCCAGCCAGGTGCAAGCGGAGGAGTGGGGAATCAAACCCGGTTCTCCCAGATTAGAGTCTGCGCACTTAACCCACTACACCAAACTGGCTCTCCAAAATACATAATGGTTGAAGGAGCTGGCTATATTTTAGGGTTGCCCTCTCCTGGTTGGGGATGGGGGGGTAAGGGTTGCCAGTTCCAGGTTGGGAAAGGTTGGGAAACCATAATGGTTGAAGGAGCTGGCTATATTTTAGGGTTGCCCTCTCCTGGTTGGGGATGGGGGGGTAAGGGTTGCCAGTTCCAGGTTGGGAAACTCCTGGAGATTTGGGGATGGACCCTGGGGAGGACAGGGACCTCAGCGGGGTACAACGCCACCGAGTCTACCCTCCAAATCATCCATTTTCTCCAGGGGAGCTGATCTCTGTAGTCTGGAGAGGAGCTGGAATTCCAAGAGACCGCCAGGTCCCACCTGAAGGCTGGCCTCCCTAGTACCCTTAGCCTGGAGAAGAAAAGACTTGAGAGGAGATCACGTTCTTCAGACAAGGGCTAGAAGAGGGCTTTCCCCATGGAAGAGGGCAATAACTTGTTCTCTGCAGCTCCAGGGGGCTCCGCCACTGGGAGGACATCAGGCAGAGGTTGGGTAGCCATCTTCTGGCTTTGACTATCCTGCACGGAGCAGGGAGGTTGGGACTAGATGGCCGACGAGGCCCCTTCCAGCCCTTAGACTCTATGATCTCCTTCCCTTCCTCCCCTCTTGCATTCCTATGTGGACATCACGTGTTTGCTTGAGGGTTGTATAACTCCCAATCCGTCTTGGACGCCCTTCAACAGTCCGGGCCCCTCCTAGAGCAAACTGTTGATTCATACTTGCATAACCGTATTTCATGCTTGAGTTCAGCCAAAAGGAGGGCTCGGGAGGAAGTTTGTGTTTTTTTAAGGAAGTGAGTGAGATTTGTCAATAGGAGTCCGTTTCGGGCTTTCAGCGTTACGGATTAGAGAGGTAATTAGAGTCGATCATCAAGCAGCAGCTATTTGGCACCGGTTTTTATGTGGGTTTAATGAACGTCTCCTGATGTGCCATCAAGTGACTATCCAGGACGAAAACCAGAAGACACACACACACTGGGTTCTGGGCTCACCACCACCCCCCGCCCGGGCCCCAAATATCT